TCTCAATTTGATCTGAAAACGTCCATCGTAGCTGCCCTCTTCTAAAATCTATTACAAGATGTCGCACCCTTGGTGTAATAAGAGTACATCTGCAAAATGTCAAATTTTCAGGAGAGCAGTTTAGAGATTCCTCGAACGAAATTAATTAATCGCTAACTTTTTTATACTTACATAGGTAAGTTATAAAATTTCTCATAATACGTATGTATATGTACATAATATGTATATTATACTTCTTATTATTTTTATGACTTTCATATGATAGAACCAACTTTGACGTATGATCACATGTGGCTTTTTATACCAAAAGTATATTTTGAATCACTGAGGAGCTTAATAAAATAATTTAACAGAGTCACGTTTAAATGAAAAGGTGAAATTAATAATAACTTTGCATTCCACAATGATGTAACGCGAAGCTAATATAATAATCAATTATTATGGTTGTTTTTGAACCGGCAATGTTCCACTACATCGGAATCTATTCAAGTTCATTGTCGAAGTAATGACTTTGAACTTGCAGTTTGCCTTCGCTCGTGATTTGTACTATAACTACCATGTTTATGTTGTTGTTGAAGTAATTTATTCTATACGATCTATGTATGATTTCTCATAGTATTTATTTTGCTGGTGATATCTTTCGAATCTAAAAATATATAAAAGTGGTTTATATGTCGATTACATTATTAATCTGCATATAAAAATGGTTTATATATCGATTACAATATCGATTATATTACATAAGTGATACGTGTTTGTTTTTTTTTTCAAACAAACCAACGTTTTAGGCCCCTTATAGGTTCCATAGTCCTATGTGTAATAATTACGCAAACCTAAAAGGGTTCGCTATACTGAACTGCCTCCGTGGCCGAACGGTTACCATGCCGGACTGCCACGCAGAGGTCCCAGGTTCGATTCCCGGGCCGGGAGAAATATTTGTATGGCCTACATTTATTTCTCTCGTGAGTTTGGGTGTAATTTGTGGTTGTCTAATTGTGTGTCCATGGCACCCGCGACACAGGGTTTCCCTAGTGCGGGGCTATGTTGATTGTGAGCGTTATTATTATTATTGTGAGCGTTATACTGCATTGGAGTCCGCCTTGCCATCTGCCACGGCGGACTGCCATGCAGGTAGGAATGGGCCGTTTAAGAACTCAATTTTTACAATAATATTTGTGATTCTTACGAATCTTTTAATATTATACAGCCTTTTTGCCATGCCTACATTAACACCTTACGAAACGCCGTAACCTAACCCATAAAAGATAAAATGCTCATCGCATGACGTCACCTAACTGGGTTCGGTCCGAACCAAGTTCCGAAGATTTTTATCTAATGAAGTAATCCAGTAAAGCTGTGTGGACGCATCGATATCAGAGATGATGTAATTGTAATTACTACTTATGTTACGTATGTTAATTTAAGGTACAATGTCTGTGTAGGTGGTTTTAAGTCGGTATTACAATTTTAAAGCGAAGAATTGATGACCTGCGTTTCCGATTGACTCATTAAAGGGGTCTACAGGCCGACCCGGGCGGGATGGTATCGGCGACATTGTTTCTAGAGTCATGTCATAAGATCAGATTAGAAATAAGACCGCCGACACCTAATCGCTGGACTATGTCGCCGGGTCGGCGTTTTCGGTCTATAGAGAGATTTTTTTTTTTTAATAGTAATAATAACGCACACACTCAACATAGCCTCGCACTAGGGAAACCCTGTGTCGCGGGTGCCATGGACACAGACATAGACAAACACAAATTACAACCAAACTCACGAGAGGTCTCTTGAGGTCTCACGGCTATAATTCAAGATGCACTCATTTACATATTATTTTTTGTAGAAATTTTAATCTTCAAAAATTACATCAATTTATGGTTCCTTCTAAGTTCACTTTTTTTTTAAAGTTTTTTAAAGTATTAGGTGTCGTACATGGTTTGTGATTTGTTATTGTTGCTAAATAAAAAAATAAGTAGGCATTTCCCTGTAGGTACTATGAGTACCAGGTACCAACTTAACCAAAGAACTAAAATGAATCAAAGTATTTGTAATCATCTTCATAGAAATCAGAGTTACGTGGGTAGAATTCTATCACCTTTTAAACATCCAAACAAGAATCAATACGAATAGTTACTTTTCTAGACAACCCATTAATGGGACCTATAACCAAGTTATGTAGTATTTTAAGTAATACCTCGCACCACGATTATGCCGCTAATGACGTATGCCTGCAGGCTTAGGCATTAGCCATAAACAAAATTCGCGGCAGTGGAGGAACTTTTTTGTGGGCTTCTGTAAATCACTCGTCTTTTATCATTAAACATAGTAAATGGACAGCTTGGAGAAGACATGTCGCACCCTCGAAAGTAACGTGACTAACTTCAAAAATACCGTTTTTGAGAAACTGACAAAAAATTATAATATATTGCCTGTTTGTCTATATTCTACAGGATATGTCACGGAGAGTGCGAGGGAACTGCACGATTAAATTCCATCTGCCCCTTTCCATCATTAGATGACTAGACGTAGGCTGAGGTTCCACCCCTATGCTATAACTTGTTTCTTTTGAAGGCGAAAGTGAAAAGGCGTTGTTCATTTAGTACCCAAGTATTTTTAATGTTAAGTAAAATAATGTAGCTTATGTACAATAGTCAGCCAATAAAATAATTTATAGTCTCTTTTTTTCATCGTCGACCTCATTGTCACTTCACATCAGGTGAGATGAAGGTCAAATGCGTACTTATTTTCAAATAAAAAACATGCAAAATAAAACTAATGTATCTTTTGTTATGTGAAATAGAATTTAGTCATGTTTCGCACCAGTTGAATAGCATAGTCGACTAGTGCCACGTACTTTTAAATTTAAAATATGTTGTCCGTGTTATAAAAAAAATTACATTTTCAATTTCGTCACTTTATTATCGAAGGTTCGATATTTGCCTTTGTGCTCATGCTAAACCTGAAATGACAAGACTTATTCCAAGTCCCTTACAAAACGCATTGTAACATACCTGTTTAAAACTTCTACAACCAAGTTTCCTGAAGTAATCCTTACTAACCTGGGTGATCTTAGGATGATCCTGGGGTCCGTGGTGAGTTGTTGTTTGTTTTTTTTATTGTCTCATCAGGCAGCACAGTATATAGTATTTTAGTAAGTTTACTTGGTAAGTTTATTTTAGTAGGTTTACGGGTCTATGAGCGAAATAAGTTTGGGAATCACTGATCTGCAACTTCATTCAATTGACTTCATTGCGTCGATAAAAATTGTTCAAAAACCTGATGTACTATTGGCTGCATCCTGTAAATAGACGATATCCACTCAACACACTATTTATTTAATGGAATGTTGATTACCGCTATAGTATCCCGCATAATTGGCTGAATCATCAATAAATCACATGGTTTCTTTGCAACTATGAAGTCACTAACAGATTATAACTTATACGTATGGACTCAAGGTCGAGACTATTTGCTTTCGATCGCAAGATCTGGGTAGAATGTCGTCTCATCTGTTGAACACTCATTGTGTGCTACGTAGTATAGTGTATGTTAAACATTTTTTGTCTATTTAAACTCAACGATGTTTTATACGTCTTTGTCAATGAATCTTGGTGTACAACATTTTTACAATATCATATTACACAGTCGCATTGCGATGTTGCAGTGATGTTCTAATTTTAAATGAGAACGAAATATAGTTGAAGGACGTATTAGTGCGAATAGATAACTCTAATGACACTACGCCAACTTAATTTTTGGACCTGGGGCCTTACCATGATCTCTTATTACAGTTCAGTATAGGTTCGTAACGACAAAAAAAAAGAGGATGGTGATCACTTCATGTAGCGCTGTCTCACAACAATTCATTTTAAGTCCTAAACTGAATCGTAATAAGAGTTCATGGTAAGGCCCCTGTTCTGTTTTTAATTGGTTTTTTGTTTCCTTATTTTTTCACAATATTATAGTATATTATGTTTTTTTTTCGAGTTTTGTTTCTTGTTACTTAATCTTTTTCACAAAATTCGGGAAGCATAATATTAATAAATAAATGTGGCTGATGAATGTGGGTGACAAAAATTACAGAAAAGATCAAAAAATAAAGTTAGCGTAGTGTTCATGCATAGGAATAGATCTGCCTTCCTTCCTTATCACAACTAACGTAACCGACATTTTTAGTGAAAAGTCGTATCAGGAATCAGTGAATCAGGATCTACAACCCCTAAAAACGATTTTTTAAATATCTTATTTATAATAATAATAATAAACTTTTTATATGTACCAACTTGGATTACTGGTGTTAGTTTAGCTACTAATAACAATAGTTTATTTACATACAAATTAGACTAACATAATTTTCATAATTTTTTACCATCTACTACTCAACACAATAATATTAATTAAATAAATAAGTAAAATTATGAAGTTCGACTTATACTACAACTTAACAAACAAACAAATTATCAGACTAATTACAATATTTCATTCTAAATTGCATTATTATTAAAATGATTTAGTTAGTCAAGTCTGTTTGCAATCACGTTCTGAACACTGTTGTAGCTTGTATCTATTCTGCGCGCCAAGGACCTGCAGCGCTTGCGCATTGTGAAACTATTTAGTTTTTATTTAGTTTCAATTTTATTGTTAAGCAAAATCAGCGTAATTGTCATTTTAACATTAACTGCCTCGGTGGCCGAACAGTTACCATGCCGGACTGCCACGCAGAGGTCCCAGGTTCGATTCCCGGGCCGGGAGAAATATTTGTAAGACTTACATTTATTTCTGTCGTGAATTTGGGTGTAATTTGTGGTTGTCTATGTGTGTGTCCATGGCACCCGCGACACAGGGTTTACCTAGTGCGGGGCTATGTTGAGTATGTGCGTTATTATTATTATTTTTCAAAGCAATAATAACTTTAGGTGAAAAATGCAAATACTTCAGTTATGATAATGAGGGTACAAATTTGAACATCAAAATTAAATATTGTCTTTTTATTGTTACAGAGGGGCGGTGTGTGAGTGTCGCACCGCCATGTCGCATCACAGCGACGAGCAGGCGCTGCTCTCCGTCACATCAGACTCCTTCTGGGAACCCGGCAACTACAAACGGACCACCAAACGGATAGATGACGGCCACAGATTGTGTAGCGAGCTACAAGCTTTAGTACAAGAAAGAGCAGATATTGAAAAAGCATACGCAAAAAGTTTACGAGGCTGGGCGAAGAAATGGAACGACTTAATCGAAAAAGGTCAGTGGATACCGTTCCATTATTATTTAATCAAAGAAGTAGTCAAACATTACGGACTATGCGCGCACACTCAAACACACACACTTGCTCGCGCTCGCGCATACGCACATAAACAACTTTTTTTAGCATTATGAGATAGTATTTACAATTTTTATTGCTCAACAGTGTATTGGATTTTCTTTTAAGATTTTTGGCTGAGAGGGTGAGGGCTTGGTGAGCTACAGCTCTACATCTGTACTACACCTGTATTACAATACAGGTGTAGTTGCCTAGTACGGTCTCCAGTCTCTCTCAAGGGATACAACATTTAAAATTGTTAGTCTATTATCAGTGTCTGTTCCTTGTGTTGAGAAAATAAATCATTGTTATTATTGTGTAACCAGGTAGAAAAATAATAGTAATTAAAGTAAATATTAGATGGACAACATCACATACGTTTCTCTGAACCCAAAGTAAGTAACTAAAGCACTTCGTCGGCGAAATTCGTAAATAAACCTCGTAACCGCCATTGATGTGAAATAATTATATTAGAATATGATTATACCATTACTTTGTAACTAAACAAAGGTGTACAAATTGTATTGTAAGCTTTAATTGCTTGATATTGTGCTTGAAGAGCGAAAAAGGAATTTCGTTTTAAAATGGAGTTACGCGGTTTTCAATGGACGTAGTTAAGCAAAAAGCATCCAATCCAAAAAAATATCAAATAATGAGTTATATGTACCAAACAGTTTCTAAAGTCTAACCTCTTAGATCAGCAAAAAATCCGACATATAAACCCAAATAAATAACTCTGGAGTTACATGTCGTCGGCTAAATTTGAAAGGTTCCAACGTACATCCGAGAGATCGCAGTTTGAAGTTTAAAAGTGTTTCTCACTCTTGTTTTATTTTCCAAACTTATAAAGTCATGTAGGTTCAGAGATATTTATTTATATGTTGAATTTTTTGCTGGTCTTAGAGGTTAGATTTTAGGAACCGTTTGGTACATATAACTAACTCATTTTTTGATAATTTTATGGATTGGATCGTCTTTGCTTAACTACATCAAATTGCAAATTAATAGACTCTTTGTACCGACTCTGTTTTTTACTCTCTATCTTGTTTTTTTGTTTGCTTGTAGGAACGCGCTTCTATGTTTTTATACTGAGACCGGAAATTTATTCATGTCACTCTTTAAGGACCTCCTTTCAACTGTCAGTGAAACACGCATTATGCATTTAATGAATATCAGTGTACAATATACGGGATAAACATAGAGAAGGCGTAATAAAAAATGTTAAGAGATTATGAACTTGGATATGTGATGTAATCATTGTACCTATTGGCTGTTCTAACTTCATGTTATTAACAAAAGTGTTTTAATTATGTTTGTGGTGTTGTAAGATCTTGATCTTGTTGTTCTTCCTATTTTCAGATCGTACGTCATATTTCCAATTATTATTGTACATTTTGCAAATATGCGATAATTTTGCACCATTTTACTCTTAAAATTTCTTCTTGATATTCCTCTCGGAGGTTAGACAAAATCATGGATATCCCAACTTTTTTCTTTTATACCAAGTAGTGGGACGTGCGCCCAGTGTTACTCAAATCTTTAAATAGCAAAGATTAAAGGGTCACTGCCTAGCGCCCGTCACCGTGAGACTTAAGTTGGCAAGTCCCGTGTGCCTGTAATTTCACCCGCACCATTACGTTTCAAACCGGGAATGCAATAATGCTCGTATTACTACTTGGTGGCAGAAATAGGTAAATTGGGAAGTAGCTCTACTGCTACTTAAGGAAATGCCGCTCTAAAGAGAGAGGTGTTACTGCAATAGAACCATTCTGTCAAATACTTCAACCAGGAGTGCCGCCGTCTACCGATACTTCGTTATTCGGCAATTTTGCTCTGGATGACAAGCTGAAGTAATTTGTGCTTATTGTTCCTCTTGACCTGACCGAAGTATATCTTCCTGCGCTTAACGGTGTTTTATGCTCCACCTTCTTCATTCGTTTATTGAGTACTTCTACATGTCTTCGTAAATTAGAGAATATTTAAATAGATCTCTAACAATGTTACATGGTATTGCTTTTTATAAAAAAGTGCTCCAAATATAGCACTCTTTTTTATACAAACGGCGCAACACTGGTCAACGGGTAGAAGAAAAGGAAGATTTGTGCATTTTAATGGAATCGTAATTACATGTAAAAGACACCCACGTTATCCTCTTTTAAGTATGTTTTGTACAATATTCATCATCATCATTAACTCATTATACGTCCCGATACTGGGTCTCCTTTAAGAAGAAGAACTTTTGTATCTATTTCCAAGGTTCTAGAGTCTAAGGGTCGTATTCTAGAACTGTACTCAATGCTCAAGTCAGGATTTGAGTATGGTTTAAAGCACTCGAAATCATACTCAAGTCCCTGCCATTAGGGTCGTATTTCCAATGCTTGTGTTTCCAGTGCAATCTTGCCTTGAGCATTGAGTAAAGTTCTGGAATACGACCCTAAATATCGTTTATAATATTGTTCCCAAATGTTCCACTTTTGAGTAAAAATTTTAAAGAAAAATTTACCACTAAAGCGAAACATTAGTTAAATCGCCTAAGTAATTCAGTGTTTTTTCGAATGTCTGGTCGGGTATCTTACTTTTTATTTTAGGTCTAATTCGAAAATAAAAAATTTGTCAACTGTCACTTTTTTCATTAATGTGTTTAAATTTCCTGCTAATACAGGTTTGTCAAGTGGTTTTAGATTGCTTTTGTGTTCTTGTAAATTTCATAAACATTAATTTAAAAAACGCTTTTACTCACTAAAGCTTGATTGAATCAGTGTTAAAATGTAACAATTTTCAAATTTTCCGCTGTTTCTGCTTTTTAATATTTTCAAGATTTTTGTTGGCTTTCGGATCCTATCCGAAGAAAATGCCCATACATAAGATTTTAATTCTCATACAAAACAATTATAGTGTAAAATTTCACCAAGATACCTATAAGTGAAAATTAAATAAATCCTCCAGGCTGTGTTGTAACAATTATATTCACTGCCTTGTTTCTCGAGTACATATTTCCTTTGTAAAAGCATTCTGAAATTTCCCATTTTTGGGATTTTTATCAAACTTTACAGAACAATACAATTTATACAGGATGCTAATCACTGTTTTTGTACATGGTTGGAAAATGCAACATTTCATATTAAATCTACAAATACAAATAAATTTTCTGAATATTTTTCAATAATGAACACTATGTTATAATTTTATAGACTGTATTATAGTGAGCTGATGCGATAAATCGAGGATTATTGTGGTTTTGTGTTATCTCTTTATTTGTCTATCATAATACAGAATAATCCCCTTGTAAAAATTAACTTTTACTTACCGATGTAGTGCAGAACATGTCTCAATAAGGTCTCTTTGGAATACAAACGTTTACATATTTGCAGACAGGTCAGAAAAAGTCGTGGTAGTCTGTCTAATGGTTTGTCCTACCGCTTCTCAAGCAGAGGCCGTGAGTTTAAATCCGATTTCGCCCCTCTTGACTTTCTCGAAAGTCATCGAAATCTTTTCGATGAAGGAAAACATCGTGATGACATCCGCACGTCGAAGAAGAGTCAAAACATTCGGAAATCGTGTGAAGTCTGGGGACTTATATGGACCAGCGTCACGTCCTAAGGCCTAAAACTCTCACCTGAGACGCGACCCGTACGCAGGAGTGGGACATATATATTGGTTGATAATGAAGACAGGCCAGAAATAAAGATAGACCGAGAAGAATCTTAAATGAATCACATCGTTTCATTAAGTATTTTAAGTATTAGCAACGACTCAAGACGAACTATAATTTTTGTTCGATCAAATTGTACAAAAACCTCGGCAATATAGTATAATTAAAGACAAAACAAATTGCAATAGGTTCACAAGCGTACAATCGGCAATTAACGTTGCATGGTTTGAACCAACGCAACACAGTCATAAATTCCCCAGTCCACACTAGACCGCACAATTGCATCACGTATTATCTCAAATTATCCACCGTGTATATATGCAAAGATATAGTTTTGCATCCAGAGTTGAAGCGCTATTTATTGTTGATACAGGACTTGTATCCAATGCCAATGGATTCATAATTCATTTATTTGTACCAAACCATCCAAACTACCGCGTCGGCGAACCGGCTTCATGCGACAAGCCTGGTAAAATAAGATAGTCTCAAGTCGATCTCGCATGGATATCGACAATGACTCCCTGTTTTTTGAGGACAAGACCATTGCCTTGAGTTGACTCAGCTGAGAAAGGCTTACAACGTTCCTTTGAAAATATACGTGTATTTTTTTTTTTACACATTTTACTGTCAATTTATGTTATTATATTTACATTCTACTTCGCTTACTTGGTCTACTTAGTCGTTGAACATAATTCCAAACGCATCACAAACTGACAAAACAATAAAGGAGCACTTTTAGTCCTAGGTCATTAAATCACAGAGAAAGACGTGGATAACAATCTACCACTTATCCTATCGATACTACTCAGCGGTTACAAGCCATTACGGGCGGATACTCGAGCGCTATCAGTACAAAGATCTAGTGGTATTTAACGTGATACACCCAGTAATTAGCACGGATTACGTAGAACTAGAAAGCTATATTGGAAATGAAGTAACTTTAAATAGAGGATGTGTATTCATCGTCAAGTGATATCGACTGCTGGGCAATCAAATGTCTTGCCTACTTCTTTCCAGTCTCCTTATGTTGTGCCTTCGTTCAGATCTTTGGGAAAAACTGGCAACTGTCGGAATACGCCATGAGAAAGCCAATATGTCGGCCATTCAAAACCCTTCAAGCACACGGAGTCCCAGACCCATATTAAGCGAGTTTGCCAGAGTACAACTCAATAACGCTATCCGTAGGTAATAACACTATTATACTTACATATTGTATGTGGCAGGACTTAATAAATTCGCCTAAAGATATGCGGTCATATAATGTTGCCATTAAGATTACGTAATGTCCATACATTGTCATGCAATCACACTTCCCTTACATAATACAAGCTAAAAAAGAAATCCTAAGTAAATGGAAAGTCAATCAACGATTCCAAGAAGATATCGAGCATCAATCAAATATCAATCCTTTATTCACATCACACCCCACGACTTCAATTCGATTCAGTGTTTCGCGATGCATTGATGACCAGGTTAAAATGAACTTTCGTATCGACACGCCGTAACAGTGCTTTTAAAATGTCAGATACCCACAAAACCTGGCCCTGAAATATTTGTCGACCAAATAGGAAATCGAAAGTCTCCCTAGTGCGAATTGGGTATACCTGATTGATCGATTACCCTCCCAATTGATTCGGCGACATATTGCGTTAATGATTATGACTGACGCAACGCCGGCGTGGAATGTGTTACAGTATTGCGAAATGCTGGTGAGTGTTGCCATTGATTGTTTTTATCGTCTACAACGTAATGATCTTATAGACTCATTATTACGTCAATATCATGCACATATTAATAATTATCGTTGTGCTCTTGCAAACAATGATTAAGTACTAGGTAGTAATTTAAGTGCATATTTTCACCATTGTGAAATCCAGTGATTAAATGAATAGGTAGACTCAACAATATCGGAAATTACAACCTTACAATTTCATACATCAACAACGAAATACAAGTAGACGATCTAATAGTAAGTAATGTGCATATTTGTAAAAACTAGGTCCTTATTTTTAACCGACTTCAAAAAGTAGTAGGTTCATAATCATAATCATTTATTCATAATTTCCATTACATGTCAATTTATAAAATATATAAATATAAATGTCAAAAAGAATATTAACTAAACAAATGTATTTTAAATCGATTGCATTATAAACTGATATTAAGGAAATATAGTAACTTACATACATATCGAGTTCTTAGGTTTTCGCGATTGTTACACATAGGGAATGAAACTATTTTTCCGGATTTAAATCACGTATATTTGTTTTTTCAAACAAACCGACGTTTCGGGCCCGTTACAGGTCGTCTTTAACGTCGGTTTGTTTAAAAAACAAATATACGCGATTTAAATCCGGAAAAATAGTTTCATTCCCTAACTTACATACAATAAAATAATATTATTTAAAATTAAAAAATTCCGATGAATTAAAAAATCTCTTCTCAATTCGTCTGTATGTTTTTTTTTGTATGTATGTTACGCGATAACTCCGCCATTTGTGAACCAATTTTGATGATTCGTTTTTTTTTGGGAAGAAGGACCTCAGATGTGGTCCCATTTAAATTCCAAGAAAATATTCCACCTCTAAGGGTAGCAAACTAGGGGATGAATGACTTTTGAGATCGTTTTTTTAAACGGTGGCTAGGTTATACTTTATGCAATTACCGTTAACCTTAAATTTCACAACTACTTTTATACTTTTGACCAAATGTAAAGCGAGAAAGAGTATGAGTTCATTAGAAGGCAAGACCGGATCGCCGATCGAAAGTGATTCCTTTTATGGCATACACGTAATTCGGACATACATCACCGGCTGTAATTGTGCACCTGTTACCCAATATTACACAACAAGTGTATAAAACAAATATTAAAGAAAGTTATTTAAATTTGTGTAAATATTATTCAGTAAAACTGCTCGTATTAAGAAAATTGACCAGGAACAACTTTTAATAAAAAGACATCTTTAAAGATTCTTAAGAAGAAGAGAAAGAACTATCGTTGTTATTACCGCTATAGGAATAAAAACCAAAAAGTAGCAACGATAAACACACAAATAATAGATTGTAATTTTCGATCAAAATTAAAAATTCTCTGCAAAAGAAAATAACCAACGAAGTATGCATAACAAATCCAAAAAGATTCCATAACCTACCAAGTTTAAACATCAAACTTGAAGTCACTAAGCTTAAAAAATACATTTTGCCATCTGCAATTATCATACAAAGTCAGAACTATTCTATTCATCTGACACCTCATAAATCATTAATAATCAAAAGAATGTGTTTAACAAATCGATTGGGTGTCGCCACAGACCGCAACGGTCACTAGCACCCAACTGCGCGCATTACATCATTCGATGTTATGAAATGAAACTTGCAAAACTGTCTCCTGTTGATGAGACTGGTTCGTTTGTAACAACTGGAGTTATGGGAGAAAATAGATCTCTTGGTCTAGAATTCCAAATTGTGATTGGCCATTGACTTATTAAAGTTTGGATACATTTTAATACCTCACTGAAGTGAGCTCATAATATTGAAATTACGTGAACAATCCCAGAACTTTTCTTAATTTTTAATAACGATTCGCTATGAGTAGACGGAGATAAACTTGATCTACCGGGGCACATTCTGGATAAAGTGGGATGAACGAGAACGCTAACATATCCTTTTCTGTTTGTTACTTTACGGTCTATAGTTTAGAGGTAGTGAGGAATAGTAAAACCATTTTTACGTGTGTAATCATGCTTCTCCTTGACCATTAGGACATTTAAAATATACACTTATATTCCGTTTTCCCAAGGGAAGCTAAATGTAATTTGTTGGTTTTAAAAATAAACCTGTAATACTTCTTGAACACAAATCAAACAGAATTCATATGAAACGTATTAAATTTATAATTAATGCGTATTTTTCGTCTTTCATATATTCCTACGTCCACATTCAAGTATGAAGTTTAATTATATGTACCGCCTGCAAGAACAGGTTTCGCGCTGCCTTTTTGGTCTTTTGCCATTACAGCACCTTGCAATTTCACGGCAAGTGCAATCATGAGGTTGCCATTCACGTTATTTTATTAAGTTAAATTGGTAACAATGTCTGAGGTCTTGAATTACAATACTTAAGTGTCATTTTGTATTTTACACGCGGATATGTATATTGTTAAAAAACTGGAACATGCGATTTTAATACTGATAAATGATCTCATATTTCGTTTCATTACAAGTGTTTTTTTTGTAAGTTTTCGTATGAGTGAATTGTTCATTAGATAGAAAAATATACAACATCTGTGAATACTTTGTTAAATTTGATAAAGTATTACTGGATAAGAAGACGATAAGAAAATAAAAATAGTTTAGCACCGTATTGGAGTCCTGACGTAGACATAACAAAAATAATCTAGCTTGTAAATTCTTTGACTTTAAACTGTTATCGACCCTAATTACGTTCTATAAAATGCAACAATGTTCTTTACAGCGCTGTAGCAGTAGTTTCTCTTATTAAATCATCTTGTTGCTCAATGCATACGTGTCCGAAGCCTCTCAATGGTCGCTGATTTCCAGAATCTATACCTGCAAACATTGTTAAATGTTGTTACGTAAGGTACACGTAATCGTCTGTAAAATTTCCCATTCTGTGTATTTCTTCCGTAACCTATTGGTTTTGTGTTCATAAGTCGAAGGCATTTGATATAAATGAATTGTTTAGATGTTGTGAAGTTGGCAAGAAAACGGTGTTGAAGTAACTGGGTCGTTGATTTTTCGTTTTTATTATGTTTTCGTCGAGTAGTTGTTAAATTTCTGTCAGTGGGACGCTGTCTAAATTAGTGTTCATTATTTAGTATTATATTCAATCATTTATTTTTAAATCCGGGTAGTTCTCAAATACTGTTATTTGAGTGTGTTTTTAATGGGGTTATAAATTTTCCCTAATAAAGTGGAAATTTATAAAATAAAATAGTTGTATACATATTTTTCCCACTGAACGTTTCTTCAACAATTTAAGGTGTTATTATTGTCATCAGGCCCAGAATATGGAACAATGGAAGCAGCATGGAAAGGTGGCATGGTGGAAGCGGAGAGGCTCTCCGACCTGCACCTTAGCGTGCGCGACAAGCTGGTCTACGATGTCATAGCGCAGATCAAAAACTGGCAAAAAGAAACCTACCATAAGGTGAGTAACTACAACCATGACAATTTTGCCAATCTACTTGACTCAATATGACTATATCATTCTAGGCATTACAGTTGATCCTAGTTTAGAACGTGTTAGTTTTTTTCTTAATTTACTCTGTTCTCTGTGTAATACCTAGATGTGGTATAGAAAAAAAAACAAGAATGCAATAAGTAATTTTAAGAGATATAGCTCTTAAATGTGGCAGTGGCACAATCACACAAATTTACCCCTCCACACAATATCTGTAGGCATTATTCATACACACTAGATGGTTTTGGAACCGAGCCAAAGTCTGTAACGTCTGCGACATATGTACAAGTGACTATCATCCTAATTTCTCTCTCAACCATAATAATACTGATTAGAGACGACAATTGTTCCTATGGGTTAGAGGATTTGGCCACAGTTCACATATTTTTTTTATGATACTCCAGACCTACTGGTAAGCGACACGCCTGTCCATAACAGTTGCATTGCCAATCAGAGCCTTAAATCACAAAGATCTGAAGGGCACTGCCCTACGCCCGTCACCTTGATACATAAGTTGCCAAGTTTCATATGCCTGTAATTTCATCAGTACCCTTACCCTTCAAAGCCGGACACAGTAATGCTCACATTAATGCTTGGCAGCAGAATTAGGTAAGGTGGTAAGTAGTTCCTTGGACGACTTCTCACAAGGAGCTCTACTGCTACAAAAACATCGCTTTCCCTATGCGAGTTGGGGCCGTAACAATACTTTGTAGACTGCCTCTGTTACGGTTACCACACTGGACTGCCACGTAGAGGTCCCGGGCCGAGAGAAAATTTGCATGGCCTTCATTTATTTCTCTCGTGCGGTTGGGTGTAATTTGTGGTCGTCTATGTGTGTATCCATACCACCCGCGATACAAGGTTACCCTAGTGCGGAGCTATGAGTGTGTGCTCTATTAATATATATATATATATATATTATTACAACAAGCACAACTAGATGTTTTGCAAATTTGTACGTTCGCTCACCATATAAAATACATTCACGTAGCGTACATTTTGTTCGTATTAGAAATCAATGAGGTCGTGTTAATATGCTTACCGGAACATCGTCCGAGCTATCTCAAGAGTCTATAAATACCTATGTTAGTATTCTGAAGGCACTTATAATAAATAAGTTACGAGAAATTGGTAATAAAACAGTAAATAATGTAATACCGTCAACATAACGACAAAATAAAATTTAGTACTCCTATAAAAGAAAAACGGAAGTTTTCAATAAATTTTAGTGAAGGGAAGCCATTCAATCACAGCGAATGAATGGTCACAATGTACAGTTGGTCAATCAGTACAATGTGTTAATAAACTACTACTTCCTTTGTCGTATTTCAATTTCAACTTTTTGAAGACCTTGAATGGGTTAAATCTACATATTTCTAATTATTAGTGCCTTTTAGAAGTCTTTGAAGCCTCATCAAAAATTTATATTGCTTTACTATATTATTCTGGAGATTGTTCTTATTCACTCGGGTTCTCCTAATCTTCTCCAGCAACTAGACATCTATCGATTGCAAACCAAATGCACTCAAATAGCAGTAGAAATCACCTTTCTTATCATGTAATAGTGCATTAAATTTCTTAATACTTTATATGCATTACCACATATATGTTTAGAGTCATTGCACATCCAAGGCTTTCCATTTCTTATTAGGAAATTATATATCATTGAGAGAAACCATATAGTTTATACTTGCCATTGGTGAAGTAAAATAGAAATGCAAAAGTAATGGCGTCAAATTCCCAACACACGTTGATTTATGCAGCAGTGGGATATACCTATAGGTTAATACAGTTTTAATTTAATATAAGATTCGGTAGTAAGAAGGTGCAGTCCTAAAGCTATTAGGTACAGGCGGCTGACCGTATTTTGTGCCATTGTATCAGGGAAGCATATTCCAGCTAAAACTATATTAGCTTGTAAATGCGCTGTGAGCAAGTGAGCGTTGATTCACTTCCGCTGTGATTTTTTCGGGATTATTCTCGGTATTCATATAAACGCCAGTCGAACGATTTTAAAATCTCTATTAATAAATATTTCGTTTGTATTTTTTTTGTATTCTGAACAAGAACTGTTAGGTCCATTTTGATTGAAATAGCTGATACAAATGAGACACATCGTGGTGTCAAATTAATGTCAATGTCTGAGCTATCCAAGCCTTCGACATAGAAGGCTCCGCTCTGTGAATGTAGCAACTATGCTACTATCATACTAATGAATTACAAGCATTCTATCTTTGACAATCTCAGTGGTCGAGTGCCTTGCACACTGGTTTCATGGTGTCGCCGTCTCCGAGGGTCAATGTAAAAAACTACCTTTTTTATATTGTCTCGGGTTTGGATGGTGGTACCGTCTTTGTTTCCGATTTCCATAACACAAGTGCTTATAGTTACTTACTTCGGGATCAGATATGATGTTGTCTGATATTTATATCCTGTACGTGAATACATTTTCATCTTCCATTGCTGTTCACATCGTAGCGCTTTTCAATTTTCTCAGCTGCACCTTTCTTCATGGACCTTCATACATCCTACATTTTGTTTTATCTGGTCCCTCCTCTTTCGGTCTGTCCTTCTGTAATGTTTTAATAAAATTATCATGCCACATGAGGCGGCCTCACACCAAAATCGTAACGCCATAACTTTCAAAGTCATCGGTTATATGCGTACGTGGACTGCCATACATGGGCGGTCAATAGAATATCTTCCATTATGAATAATACGCGGTCTTCCATACGACGTTTGTCGGACGGAAACGGCCCACGCTGTACTACATCTGGACTTACTATCGGATCTTGCTACTGTGAAGTTAGAATATCTATATTTATTATATCTAATTTACATCCTGAAGCTGGACTCCAGGCCACAATAAAAGTGTTTCACACGGCAATACGCCAAAAATTTTACAGATAATTAATAGAAGGTTTAGATGGCATTTATTAAACTGGAAAGACCAAATTACATGGCACCGAGCTGTCTTACGCCGTATGCGGCCAACCGGCAAATCAATTGGGATGACCTTAGTAACTCAACGTTTTGCACCATGGACACTAGATGAGGAGTTCCCGGGAACAATTCTCGGCAAGACCAGTTTGGGAATGAACTTTTCTAAATCGGTTCTCGTGTGGTTGTTCCGGATAGTGAACCGGAGTTAATTCCGTTGCTCTGGTACTTATAGTACAGGGAATACCATAGTTTGAGACCAGGTAATAGGTGTGGTCTAGCACATCATATTTTTTCCAGTTTTAAAATCGCTTTTTTGTATTTAAACAAACCAACGTTGCGGGCTCGCTACAAGTTCCATAGCCATCACTGTATATCACTGTAGCCTTGAATACCGCTTAATTAATTGCACGGATGCCCCATAACAAAACCTATTAAATGCTTTAAACAAAATTTTACATGAGAGCTCAAAAACACAAATGAAGGTTGCCTTTAAACAATTTTCCTTTTAATATAAAAAAAGTAATAGCATTAGATAGGGTTCCACCAACCAACATGTAGATGTCATTTGGCTAGCAAATAATTGATTACAGACAACGATGCATCGTTCATAAGAACACTTACTTATTTTATTTACAACTTCATTCAGTTTTCTTCAGTTAGCTGGAAATGTACATTACTAAATTACCTTATATTCATAACTAATATTATACTGTAGTGATACAAATTGAAGTAGAACGTCAGTTACAACTCTAGAACCATCTGTCTAATATAATAAATCGCTGCCTTTATACAATAACGTTAAATGCTATTTGCGATTTTGAACGAAATGTACATCGACGAGCGAAGCTTTGTCGTGAATAAAGTACGCATCTTCATACATCAAATATTATTTTTTTCGTTTAAAATCATAATATTCTGTAATACTGCGTTATTTTATAAAGGCGAAAATGTCAGAAAGTCTTTATTCTAGATTATATGTTAACCCGGTGGCCGGGAAACACATTAATCAACACAGCCAAATATCAACAGTACATCGATTGAAACTTCGTTATAAAACCTGAAAATGTGAGAGCATTTTTTTTTAAACTTAAACTATATTTAGGTATATTATATTATATGTTGTATTATAACACATGTTATATTACAACTGCCGCCGTGGCCGAACGATTACGGCACGGAACGGTGCTGGTGAAATTACGGGCACATGGGACTTGTCAACTTATGTCTCAAGGTGACGGGCGCAGTGGCAGTGCCCCTCAGATGTTTGCGATTTAAAGCTCTGAATGGCACCATAACTGTTACGGACAGGCGTGTGGAGCACGACTTGTTCGTCCCGTCACTTGATATAAAAAGGAAATACTGTCGGCACGGTTCTGCTTTGTAAACCTATTGATAGTATAGTGCAGACAACCGAATTGGCTTTTATTCAACAAACCAATTGAGATTAATCTTCATGTGGTCTCGGTGACGACAAATGATACCACAAATTATATATCTGAACTTTTTGTATCAACAAAATATTAGGGGTTAAAGTATGAAATTGCCGTTTTATTGCAATAGGTTGTTTGAATTTTCATAGAATCTTCATGGTTTGAGGTTTTCGAATGAAACTTTTTTCAAATGGTTTCTGTGATTTTTTATTTTTTTTAAATTTGAAACATTTGAATATCGACTTTCAATTGTTTTTGTTATTCAATTTAGACAAGAAAGATGGATACTGCGAAAATTCGAGTGATTTTTGAATACGAGTTCCGACGCGGAACTAACGCGGCAGAAACAGCCCGCAATATCAATGCTGCGTTTGGAGAGGGGTCTACTAATGAACGCACCGTGCGATTTTGGTTTAAACGCTTTCGTGATGGAAATTTCGACTTAAAGAACGAGCCACGAGGAAGACCGCCCACACAGGTGAATAACGATGAATTAAGAGAGATAGTGGAAGCCGATCCTAGTCAAACTACCCAGGAATTAGCGGCATGGTTTAACGTTACCTTACCCACAATATTGACTTACTTGCGTCAAAT